TCTAACCTGAATAAACTTTAGTAAGCAAGTCCACCTGGCTCTGGTTTAGGGTTTGAAGAAGACTGCTGTGTAAATGGGTGATCGCCTGCCCTTGCTACATTAAATGAAGTTGATTACTCTTTCTAGAGTACTGTTTCCAGCATGTCCTGGTGAATCTTCCTAATTATACAATTAGAATCTTTCTAATTCTTTCAGCCTGTAGTATTTTGAAAATGTATTCATTCACCTATTCAGGTTAAAAATAGTCCTTTTTGATTCAATGCTATATGTAACCACGGAGGTTGCTTGCAGCCAACTTAGGGAAATCATTTATTTGCTTTTGGTCTATGTTACTGTTGCAATTTTCTCTGAGAAAGTTTAGTCATTGTATGAAGTATTGCTAGCTGCTTTCTGTGTTTCATGAGAGGAATAAGCTATTATGTAGTTTCCCTTCCCCCCCAATAAAAAAGCCTTTCATCAAAAACTGACATCCTAAATGAAGGACATAATTGTACAGCTTATTTATTAGTGTGTCAAACTTAAAATGTAATGGTTTCATATTTCAGAATGAAAAGTGTGTTGTGATTCATGGTTGCTGGTGACAAAATAGACAGCTCTTTTTATATTACTGTACTGATTGCTTGCTGATATGCCACCACACTCTTTTTTCCTTCTGTTCTCTTCCTGTGCAATAGCTCCCTCTGCTTGAAAATATTGGTGTAATTATAGTTTAACACTGTGTACTTTATTAGTGCATTCCCTTGACTATTTTTTTACTTTTAATTCTGTTCATAAATTGTGGCACTAAATATTAGAGCATGTAGAAAATTACCAAGGGTCTCTTAGCTGGGGGTGGAAAGACAAGGTTAGTTGGGAAAAGCAAAATAAACTGAAGACATTATTTTTTTTCCCCAAGGAGTTAGCTCTGTAGTCTTTGTTGATTTAAATATGGTAGATTTGTTTAAAATTCAGTGCAGTGCATTAGAAATGAACCTTATATGTCTAAAACATAGAGGTATAGAAAACTAGATCAGAAAAGTTCAAAAAAGCCACCAGCCCCTTCAAAAAGAGCCAGGAATGTGACAGATCTTCACTTTGTTAATTCCAAAATCTTATAATTCTACATAAAACCTGGCAGTTTTCCTCTAGTCACTCAGGAAGTATTTAACAAAAGCTGGCAGAAGTAGAGTCTCTTCCCTATATGGGACAATACGTGCATGCAGAGACACTAGAGACAGACCAAAGCAAACCAGAGCAAATGCTTTGTATCTATTTGTTGGATAAAGTAAACATTAAAGGAGTTATGAGTTGTTTTTTTAAAATTAACCAAATGTATTGATAACATCAGTGGTTTTTTTTCAGTGCTTAATGAAAAGAAATATGGGATTCTCTGGATAAAAAAGATCCATACATTTGTTTTGTTCATGAGTTCATTTCTGTGTATTAGAAAAGTTCTGATGCAGGGCCAGATAACCATGTCATAACTTTGCATGTTATTTTTCAGTATACTTTGTGTTTGTATGTTGCTGGGGATTTAATGCAGGGCTTTGTTCATGCTAGGCAAGTACTCTATAATTGACCTACAACCCTAACCCTAAATAAATAAATATTTTTATTTTTATTTATTTATTTATTTATTTTGTGTGTGTATATATATATTCTGGGGAATAATCCAGGGATACTTACCACTGAGCCACATCCCTAGCCCTATTTTGTATTTTATTTAGAGACAGGGTCTCATTGACTTGCTTAGCACCTCATTTTTGCTGAGGCTGGCTTTGAACTCATGATCTTCCCGCCCAAGCCTTCCGAGCCTACCGGGATTGCAGGCATTCACCACCATGCCTGACATAAAAAAAAAATTATATATATTTAATACAGTGAAATATGCTATTGTTTCCATGCCTTTTCTGAATTTAAGTGGTTTCATGAGAGGATGCTCTACTGATAAGTATTTAAGAATGGAGTGCCATTTCCCATAATGCTTCTCTTAGAGCCTACTTATGGCCTAAGAGGAGTCATAGTTGGAAGTCATAGATGGGTTTGTCTTTGATCCACAGTGTGACAGTGCTTGAGAATATCAGATAGTCTTGTGCAACTCTTTTCTGACCTCTCATGGTCCAACAAAATGTCAGTCACCAAAAGTTTTAAAAAGATTTTGATATGTGACTGAGCATGCAGAAATTAAATTGAAACTGTTTAGGTATATCTTTACTTTGATATAAGCTAATATTTTTGTGGATGTATAGAGAGATTAAGAAAAATGTTATCAGAATAAATACATGGAATAAATATATGAGATTCACTAAAAATACACTGTCCTAAGTCCTGTTTTGGACAGCTCTTTCACTGCTATGACCAAAAGATTTGACCAAAATAATTTTAGAGGATGAAAAGTTTATTTTGGGGCTCATGGTTTCAGAGGTCTTAGTCGAAAGACAGGCAGCTCCATTCCTCAGGGCCTGAGATAAGGCAGAATATCATGGTGAAAGGGTGTGGCAGAGAAAAGCAGTTGGGAACATGGCACTAGGAAGCAGGGAGACTCCACTCATCAGATACAAAGGCATGCCTCCAATGAGCCACCTCCTCCAGTCATACTCCACCTGCCTATAGTTACCACTCAGTTAATTCCTATTAGGGGGTTAATTCACTGATTGGGTTAAGACTGTCATAACCCAGTTATTTCGCCTCTAAGCTTTCTTGCATTGTCTCACACATGAACTTTTGAGTGACACCTTACATCTAAACCATAGCAAACCCGCATATTTGTTTACAGGGAATCAGCTCATTATTCTTTGCTTGACTCACAGGACCCTTTAGATCCCACAAGATCAGTGATTGTGATCCGCTCCCTGGTAGCAGATGGTGTAGCAGAAAGAAGTGGAGAACTTTTACCTGGAGACCGCCTGGTCTCAGTCAATGACTACTGTTTGGACAATACCACACTTGCTGAAGCTGTGGAGGTACTGAAGGCCGTGCCTCCAGGCACTGTACACCTTGGCATCTGTAAGCCTTTGGTGGTAAGTGTTGAATTTTGTTAATATAAGAAGAAATGATAATGCAGTAGTTCTGGATTTTGGAGATAAATATGTCTGGCCTCTAAGTGTTGAAATTTGTTAACATAGGAAATAATATTGCAGCAGTTAAGAACATGGACTTTGGGGGCAAATACACCTGACCTTGAATTCCTGTTCCACTGCTTAATGCATCTTTGATCATAGTCAAGTTTCTTAATGTCCTTGACTTATACCATCAGAAAAAATAATGTCTATCTCATACGGTTTGAGGGTTTAAAGAATATTATATTCAGTAGGTACTTACTGAGCACATTACTATATATCTGCTAGCTGTTAGCATTTCTAGTCTTACTAGTACCGCTTTTACTATTTTCATCTTCATGTTTTGCACACAGAATCTGTTTCCATCATATTCCTTAATGCAAATTAAAGTAAGTATGTTTACATGTTAACTTTTATTAAGGAATTATGTTAAGATAGTACAATAAGTTGAAGTCCAGTCAACCACATCATTTTAACATTATGATAATGAGACATTAATGCTTTTCCAACTATCATCAGAGTACCCAATGACTCTTAGCACCCAGAACCTCTATATGATCAAGCCGTCTTATTGCTTAATGTACTATGTCAGGTCAGTCTTCCTGACAGAAGGGTACCTCAGTTATGGTGCTGTTAAGGTCCCCTGTACAAAAAAAAACAAAAACAAAAACAACTTGATAATTTCAGTCGATGTTAAAATATTAAAGAGTGCTTACTAATGACAATATTTTAAGTCTACTACATGTAGAAGCCACATGTAGTAGTAGTTGAAGCAACTTTAAAGGTCACTCTTTTGTACTCACACTACAAATGAGTCAGTGGAGGCACAGAGAGTCAAGTAGCTGACCCAAGGTCATATGCTAGCAGGAAGCAGAGCTGGAATATGAACTCGGCCAGGCTGCTGCAGACCTTGTGTTCCTGGCTACAGGAACACATGCTGCTGTTTGATTGTATTGTTCCTTTTTTAATTTGTAGGTAGCATGTCTGAAACAGCTTGGTTTTGATAGGTTGTTGGACTGGATTTTAGGAAATAAGAACTCTGATTCTAGCTTTGCTCAGAGTTATAATGCCCAGTGGGTTTCAAACTCAAAGATATGTAATTTTACATAAAAATTACCTGGGAGATGTTTAAAATGCAGTTTTCTGAGTCCTGCCCTCAAGAGATTCTGATTGAGAAATTCTGATGTACTATTCACAAATCTCCCTCTTCAGTGGGTCACCTCTGTAATTTGATCAACAGGTATACTACTTTTCTTCTAGTAACCTAAGTTTTTCATTTCTTAGAAGAATGAATAAGACTAGAGAACTTCTAAGGTCTTTCTGAACTCTAAATTCTTTAATCTATGAAATACTTTAATATACTGCCCAAATAACATAAGTACTCTGCTAGCTAACTAATTATATTTATATATAGATAAAGGTTGATGTATTACACCTATTTTTGCTCCGAGAAACCTCAGTATATTACTTTTTAAAATTTTTGCTGCTGAGGATTGAATTCAAGGCCTTACTCATGCTAAGTACATGTTCTACCACTGAGCTGCTCCCGTAGCCCCAGTAAGTTTTTTTATTTTTCATGTAATACACATAAAAAGGCCTGTATATTACACTTAACAGAAACTTTAAATGTTTCAAAATATAATCTAACACATAACTAAATCAGGTTCTTGACTTTTTGTGTATTTGGTGTGTTATCCTAACCCATAAGTAACACACCATGAAGTGCTTGGTTTGATTTTTGGACAAATTAAGGAAGGGAAAACCAAGAATATGTTCATGGGACCTCATCTCATTGTTATTTTCGGTGGTAGCAGGAACTTTGTCTAGATTACCCGGGTGATTATTTGCTAGAATTTTGTCACCACATGGGAAAAAAATCCCAAGATAGTTAGTCCTATAGGACTTAAGCAGCCCAGCCTATACCATTAAGCAGTTTTAGGAATTCTGAAGCAGTGTCAATAATGGGACTTAGTACCAAAAGGGTGTGGATTCTTGGGTGATTTC